ATAAATCTACCTTAAATGTGCTGGACACAGAAGAAAAATTTATCAAAAGATGTTTTGCATTTAAAACTCATTTATTAAACAAAGTATCCATGGCTAGGGATTGAACCTTTTCTGATCACCGTGTCTTGCAAGGTTTTAGAACTAGCAGATCTCATCCTTACACCGTCATAGTTTGGAAAAGGAAAATGAGCTTTACTGATCTTAACTCCCAATGAGTTTCTCAACTTAGAATGAGCTAGTCATTGAACTGACCAGATAAATAAACTGAAAGGAAGAAAATATTTTCTTTTTACCTGCAGAAGAGGCTACTCTTGTTAAAAGCTGGTTTAGCACTTCAGCAAAGTCTGGTTCCAGGTGCTTAGCCAGTAGGTTGACTTTCTTTAAAACTTTGGCAGCAAACATGTACTGCTTGAATATTTTTATTTATATTATTTCAATAAATTAAGGTAAGTTTAGGCCTTAATATAGGTTATCATAATTTCAAACTTAATTTCCCATACATTTCTTTTTAAATATAAACCTATTTAAATGAAAAAAAAAATCTGTTTTTTGTGGAGTTCTTAACTCTGTTTTTATCCACCCTGAAATGGAAAATCTTTGAGGTATTTTTCCAAGGTGTCATTTGTTTTCCTCACTAACTTTTATTCTGCATAGGCCCTTACACTGTGGTATCTGAGTGCCTTTCAGTAGTGTATTGAACAGTGTGACTATACCTCTATCATGTGTTGTTTGTTCTCTCAATCTCCCCAGAGGGAGGAGCATATATAGTGTAGGGTTTTTTTAAAACGGTTTAAAAAAAAAAATTAATATACATGTTGCTATATGTTCCTTAGAGAAGGCAATGCAAAGGAAATGTCTTGCACTTGTAACAGAAAGTGGTAATGTTTGTAATGGTCCTTAGTTCCTGTGGGAGTTCATTCCACGGTCTCAGACTGTCCCCTGAGAAAGTTCTGTCTCCTGCACAGATGAGCTTTACCCTTATTGTAGAGAGTTCAATAGAGTAGAGTGTGCCAGAGGAATGTGGTTGTCAACCATGGTCTTCATCCCAGAGCTTTAGGCAGTCTTAGATATCCTGGCCCCACGCCATGGAGCACCTTGAATATGATTCAGTTCTATGGGAAATCAGTGTAGAGAGCAGGGGACAACTTGTGTGCTCACAGCCTGTGTGGTTGAAGAGAGATACTGTAACATTCTGTACTAGTTGGGGTTTCCTGAGTGCTGAAGGTTTTATGCGCAGGTATATTACATTGTTGTACTCCAGCTGAGAAGTGACTAAGGCTTGTATAAATGAGGTCAGGCCATCATCTGCCAAGGTGGGACAGAATCTCTTAGCCTACTGGAGGTGATAGAAAGCATTACTCATGAATGCTTCTGTGGAACAGTTTAGCATCAATGAGGAATCCAAGAATTCTCCTAAACTATGAACTTCAAATTGACCAATTTTGAATGTGTACCTTTCACCAGTGGAGACTGTGCTGTGACTGCAAACTCCTGAAAATGCTTTTCTCTACCCACCATCATCACCTCTGGTCCTTGAAAAGCACAATCTACTCTTCCTTTGCATATCTTGAATAAACCCAGAACTCTTCAAACATGCAGGCTATATGATTATCACTGCAGTTGTAAAAGAGCATGCTGCTGTATCTGAATCATAAGTAGCCTTTAGAGAGTGTTTGACTACATCCTGCCTTTTGGAATGATGGCTTTAGGTTCCCTCTTTAGGTCTTCTGGCAGGTGATCCATGAGGGATTTCAGCTTGTTCTTTTGGAAGTAGTCTCATCTGGAAGTAGTCTGGCCAAAAGAGTTAGACAGTTAGTCATCCTCATTCACAGAATAGATGAGGAATAAGCCTTCTTATCAAGGAGATTAAGTTTCCTTATACTCTGTCATCAGGAGAGGATTTTAGTATTTCTTCAGCGACTACCGAATACTTGATGCGGGGTGCTGGTAGAAATATCCCAGCCATGGCAGTGCAGATTTGTCTGTGGTAGTCTGTCAGCTTTTGTGGAAGAAACTAGGATGAGTGGATGGGTTACTTGCAAGTCCTTGGATTGACCAAACAAGTCCTCAGTGATTAGTAGTATCACTATTCTGTCTAGCTGCTGTGGCCACAAAGTATGAAACAACCTCCTGTTCAGCTGTCTAAAGTGGTAGCTATGCAGGCTAGTAAGAACTTGAATTTTAAGTGCAGACACAGTAGGTGAGGTGGTTCTTACATTCCTAAGAGCCCATGAAGACTGAATCCCTATAGGGATGCTAAGGAATAGGTTCTTCTTCCAGGTTTCCTGTTTTAAAGATTCAAATCCTTCAGCTAGTGGGGCAGAGGATGCGGTCTTCAATGGAAACTGGAGAACTACATTTAAGAACCAGAGTCCCCAGCTTTGTTACAGGGCCTTTTTCTAGGTTTTGATATTCAAGACTGTCCAAACCATTCTGCTAGTTCCATAGGGATAATGTGATGAACAGCAGTTCATTCACCCTGGTGCTTTAGACTGACTGATTCCTTCTTCCCCTTCAGTCCAAGGTCTTAATGGATCCACACCTCTGCTTGGCTTTTGCCAACGAAGAGGGTCCTGGTGCTCAGTCTGAGCTTCTCAGAGAGCCTGCACAATCAGGGAGGACGAGGTAAAGGTAGTACAGGAGAACACGCTCCCAGCAAGTGAGTCTTTGAGGAAGATGAGCCATTGTGCATGCATTGACCTCTCTGCATTACACAAAGAGGGCACATGTAAAGCTGGTTACCTTACCAGCCATCCTTCAGTGCCAACTGGAGGCATCCATAGCACTAAGAGAGTAAAACAACAAATTTAAATTGAAAAACTGAAAACCATGTTATGGGGCTTCTAGTCTAAAACAAGTGACAAAGAACTGCGTAAGATGGAAAGCAACTAGAGCAGAGATGGGCAAACTACGGCCCATGAGTCACATCCGGCCCGTGGGACCATCCTGCCCGGCCCTTGAACTCACAGCCGGGTAGGCTATCCCCCTTTCCCCGCAGCCTCAGCTCGCCGTGCCGCCAGCACTCTGAGTGGTGGGGCTGCGAGCTCCTGCTGGGCAGCACGACTGGCTCCAGCCGGGCAGTATGGCTGCCAGTCCTGGTGCTCTGAGCGGCATGGTAAGGGGGTAGGGAGCAGGGGGGTTGGGTAAGGGGCAGGTGGTCCTAGGGGGCAGTTAGGGGACAGTTGGATAGGTGTGGGGCCTGTCAGGGGGCAGGGGTGTGGATTGGTGGTGGGGTCCTGGGGGTGGGAGGGGACAGTCAGGGGACAAAGAGCAGGGGGGGATTGGATGGGTCAAGGGTTCGGGGGGACAGTCAGGGGGCAGATAGGGGGCAGGGGCTAGGCTGTTTGGGGAGGCACAGCCTTCCCTACCCAGCCCTCCATACAGTTTCAGAACTCCAATGTGGTCCTCAGGCCAAAAAGTTTGCCCACCACTGAACTAGAGGAAGGTTGAGGGTTTCTGACTGTGTACAGCTAGCTGGAAGGAACTGAGGAATAGAGCTGCTGCTCTCTCTGTAACCTTGGGCCCAAATGTTTGGGACCATGAGGGACCATTTTTGCAATTCCAATAACCTAAGCTTTCTAGAAACTTAGGGTAAAGACATGGATTTTATCAGCGTGAGAGTGTATAGTTGTACAAGAAATACTCTTAAAACCAGAACTTTATTTAAACAATTCTAGCAAGTGAACTGGCAACAAATACCTTCCATTGTTAAGTTAGCCTTCCAAAATGGTCATGAACATTTACCAGATACAAAACCATTCACTCATTCTTAATATAAGGGTGATCTTAAACATGAATATTTTATTTGCTTCTCAAATTAAGCTCCTTACCCCAGATGAGTGATGAAGTAGAATTTTTCTAGGCTGTGTTAAACGTAGAATTGTAACAATCATTGAATTGATGAGATAATAAGATTAGGGCAGGGATAAGAAAAAGGCTTACATTAAAAGGAAACAAAGTTTTGCTGTATGGGCACTGATTCACATAACTGGGTATAGGCATCTCTGTGAGAAAGTAGGTTCTCATCAAGTTACATGGGGTTTGATAAGCATCAGGAGTGACTCTCGCATACAACATGAAATGCACCCCCAAAAGTAAAAAGCCTTTTCCAGTAGTATTATAATCAGCTGCAGATTGCCAGTGTGTCTCATTTGCAACTGTGTGACAATACACTTTTTTCATCCATTACATTGTGCCTACAGTTTGTTTCAGTGTGGTGTTTTAGGTATTTAACATATGTTCTTTGAATATTGAAAGATTATGGCAGTTATCTGCTGTTCTGCATTAGGAGCAGTGGAGAGCACACTGTTCTTTCATGAATACTGTGCTAGCTCTCTGCAGCGTGAAATGTATCCCCTACAGTTGTCCATTTCTATTGATTGGTGCAAAGCACGGAAGGGCTATGGCCCATTCTGCACTCCAGCCCTTTTTGAGGTAGTTTAGATCCCAGGGATTGCAAATGGGGAGTAGGCTCTGCACTCACAAGAATATTGGGCCTGCCGTTGTGACTAGCCCTTGCTCAGGAGACATGGGGTGGGCGGGAACTGGCCCTATTACCTTAGTTTCTTAAGGGCCTGATCCTCAATGGGAGCCTTGCCATTGTTTTCACTTGGGAGCAAGTCCTAAGTCATGTACAAAATTAAGTAGCAGTAAGAGTGGAAGGATGGTCTTTCTGTTAAGGCACTGGACTGGCATTCAGGAGACCTGAGTTCCGTTCCTGGCTTTGTCATAAGGCGACTTAAGGCACAGCACTTTATCTGTTGCTCCAGTCCCCTATCTGTAAAATAGGGATAATTATACTCCACTATCTCTTAGGGACAGGATAAATTCATTAGTGTTTGTGTGGTGCTCTGATATTATGGTGATGACCACCATAGAGAAACTAATAATTAAATGAATGTCAAATCATATAACAAACTTGGCCACAGAGCCAGACATATATCCTGTAAACATGTCACTTCAGCATTTTTTTAACCCAAGCTTGTATTCCTTTGGCACAGGATCTGATGCAGTGCACAGCCTTCGCAACAGCAGATGAATATCATCTTGGTAATCTGTGTCATGACCTGACTTCATATGGATATGTTGAAATAACAAGTTTGCCTAGAGGTAGATTTTTAAAACCTATTTTGAGCAGCTTTATCTTATTTTGGGAACAAAATATGGGTGAGTTATATAGAAAAGTAGTAGTAATTTTCTACACTCTCATATGTACTTTGACATAGTATCGGAATATTTTGATACCGTCGAACAAAATTGCCTTCTCACAATTTTCTTAATAAAACAAAAACTGAAGACAAAACAAACCTTTGGCAGAGCAACATTCTCCGCACTTGCAAATAACTTATGATTTTCCAGAAATGACAGAACTGGTTGGAAAATAGGATCCCTCCTCCCCACCAAAAATAAATTGCCCCGAAAAAATCATTTTGAAAGTTTGATAAAAGAATTTCTATTTTTGCAAGAAGTTTCAAATGGAAGGTTGTTCTGTTTCTAATCAACATTTCAAAACAAAAATGAAGTTTTTCATATTTTTTCTTCCTTTATGCCACTTTTCCTGGTGAGGTTGCAGCGGCAGCATGGAGAGTAAGAAGGACCAGACGTCCTTTTCCTCCGCAACAGATTCTAGCTGTTGTCCCACAACTTTTAAACAAAATAAAAAATGGTGGGATTTTTGATAACCAAAATTCTTCATTTTGAAAAATGTCGGAAAAAAATAAATTGTCAAATAAAAATTTCTCAAATCTTTTGACAAAAACCCTCCTTTCCAACTACAAAATTTTTTAGTCTGAACATTTTTTGACCAGCTGTCATGTATAGTAAGTGGTAATATAAGAAGGTAGCTGGTAACTTAAGATGATAACATAACCAATAAGTTGTAATCTATATATTGACTACAAAAGGTCTAAACTAGAATGCAGTAATATACCATCTGTTCTGCAGCCTACTTGTTACTGGGAAATACGAAGCTTTTTCTAGTAAGTAGTCCTTTGCCATCAAATTCGGCAGAATTAAGCTTTCATCTGAAAGTTTCTAGATATTATAGTTATGAATATAGCACAGCAGTAGTTTACATGCAGATTGTCATCTTTAGTCTCCAGACAGTTCTAATTCCTCTATAGTTGCTCATAACTTTACCAATCTGCAGCAAAATGAAAGCTGACCAGTCTTGGCAGTTTCACAGCTGTTAATCAGAGCCCTGCAGATAAAAGTAAAAACACATCTTTCACTCTGCTCTTGCTTGGAAAAGCTAAGAGGCATTGTTGCTTTTTATTGGGGAGGAAGCTTGGGATGGGAATAGAATAGTGAAGACATCTTTTGTGGGAAGCTGAATAGAGCAGTGGTGATATCCTCAACCCACCCATCCACTGCAGGGGTCTTTGGGGTGGAAAGGAGGGAGGGAGGGAGGGGATGCGGTTTCTTTCCTGCAGCCAGAAAGTTTAGAGGTTTCATATTTATTGGGCATTCTAGTGTGAGGGTGATTTTAAAAGCCCAGAACAAGATCCTGGGAGAGCAGCCTGGTTAGAATTCCAACAATCTCCCCTTTCCTTGCAGCTGGCTGGACTTCTCATCAGGGCACTTTCCCTAATCATTGATGCTCTTTTCCTGATCTTTATTGTCCCTTGCATGTCTGATAAACTTCTCCAGCCCTGATCTGTATTATGAATTTAAGATGTGTCCCCTGAATACTGCAAGCTGGCCATTAATAGGAGGAGAGAGAAGCTTGCTGAATATTTACCCTTTAAAACAAAATTACACACCAAAGTGAAAGGATACCTTTCTGATCAAGAAAATACAGTGGATATAGTGGGCCAAATTTAATCACTAGTGTAACTGTTGAAGAGTCCACTACGGCAAGCCTTCAACAAAATATTTGGCAATGATTCAACCTGAGATTTCTCAGAAAATCTGTGAAGCTGTGGCTTGGATATGAATATTGTGTGATGAATGCTGAATTAGCTGAAGGGTACTAACCAGAGAATAATTCTTGGAATCGTTGTTGGTCTGGAAGACCACAAGTGGGCTTCCACAAATGTTGGCTCTTGAACAGTTTACTATCTTGGAAGAAGTGGAGAGTACATTAGTTAAACTAACAATGTATGTGAAGGTAAGAGGGATGAAAGATACTGTTAATAGGCATTTCAGCAGTGCTCAGCATAGTATCAGGGTGTTTCACAAACCTTAATGAATTAAGCCTGGCCAAACCCCAGTAATGAAAGAAAGTGATATTAACTCGTATTACAGATGAGGATGCAGAGACAACTTACACTACTGTAAACGAGAACAGAATCTAGCCCTTTGGCTTCAAACACAAAATACTTTTGGACATATTTTGCTTGGAAAGATTAATGTGGAAGAATGAAACACTGTACAACAGGTCTATGTGTATTAGAACAAGGGAGGCAATGCTTCCATATGAGCACTGGCTTTTTACTTCGAGGCAGTAATTTTGTCTTTTCTGTTTTATACAGCACAATGGGGGTCCTAACCCAGTTGGGGCCTTTACCATAAGATAAATATTATTATTGTTGGTGGTGGTGCCATCCCCCCAATTGTAGCTGCCATGTCTATTTCCTCACTGCTTGCTCTGACTTCTCTTCTCTCATAGATGCAAGTTTTCTACTGGGTTGGAGGGAGATTTAAAACACTTGTTCTTTTCAAAATGTGATTGTGCTAGCAGCTAGGATGTTTTGTGGGTAGTCATATCCTCATGCTGAATGTAGTGTCAGATGGCATGCTGACATGGCAATGGTTGGATAACAACTCGCTCAATCTTGTACACTGGAGAGTAAAATGTTGAGCATATATAAGCACAAAGTAACAAACTTGGGAATTATGTCCCTAGTCCCTGCCTACTAAAGTGCACTGGTTGCATTGTTGTTTCATTTGGCAGCTATAGAATCATAGGTTTGGAAGGGACTTCTAATCCAGTCGTCTGCACTCAAGGCAGGACTAAGTATTGTCTAGATCACCCCTGACAAGTGTTTGTCTAACCTGCTTTTAAAAACCTCCAATGACTAAGGAGATTCCACAATCTCCCTCTGCAATTTGTTCCAGTACTTAAGTACCCTGACAGGAATTTTTTCCTAATGTCCAACCTAGACCTCCCATGCTGCAATTTAAGCATATTGCTTCTTGTCCTGTCCTCACAGGTTAAGGAGAAAAATTTTTCTCCCTCCTCCTTGTACCAACCTTTTATGTACTGGAAAACTTATGGTGTCTCCCCTCAGTCTTCTCTTCTCCAGATCAAACAAAACCAGTTTTGTCAGTCTTTCCTCATCAGTCATGTTTTCGAGACCTTTAATCATTTTTGTTGTTCTCCTCTGGACTTTCTCCAATTTGTCACACCTTTCCTGAAATGTGACTCCCAGAACTGGACACAATACTCTGTGCTGATAAGACCTCAGCTGGAGTAGAGTGGAAAAATTACTTCTTGTGTCTTGCTTACAACACTCCTGCTAATATATCCCAGAATGATGTTTTGCAATAGTGTTACACTGTTGACTCCTGTTTAGCTTGTGATCCACTGTGACCTCCAGATCCCTTTCTGCTAATATATCCCAGAATGATGTTTTGCAATAGTGTTACACTGTTGACTCCTGTTTAGCTTGTGATCCACTGTGACCTCCAGATCCCTTTCTGCAGTACTCCTTCCAAGGCAGTCATTTCCCATTTTGTATGTGTGCAATTGATTGATCCTTCTTAAGTGGAGTACTTTGCATTTGTTCTTATTAAAAATTTCAGCCTATTTACTTCAGACTATTCAGTTTTTCCAAATCATTTTGAATTTTAATCCTGCCCTTCAATGCACTTACAACCCCACCTAGCTTGGTATCATCTGCAAACTTTATAAGCATACTGTCTATGCCATTATTGAAATAGTTGACAAAGACATGGAACAGAACCAGACCCAGGACGATCCCTGTGGGACCCCACTCAGTATGCCCTTCCAGCTTGACTGTGTACCACTGATAACTACTCTGGGAACAGTTTTGCAACCAGTTATGCACCCACCTTATAGTAGCTTCGTCTAGGTTGTATTTTCTTTGTTTGTTTATGAGAAGGTCATGCAAGACCATATCAAAAGTCTTACTAAAGTCAAGATATACCACACCTACTGTTTCCCCCCATTCACAAAGCTTGTTACCCTTTCAAAGAAAGCTATTAGGTTGGTTTGACATGATTTGTTCTTGACAAATCCATGCTGATTGTCACTATAGTATTTCTAAGGTGGTAAGTAACAGAGTACCACAGATTTTCCTAGAAGGCCACAGACATGAGGAAAAGTAGTATTTGGTGGGATATGGAGATGGGAAGTTGTGGCTTATCCTAATTAGGTATAAACTTTTGAAATGCCTGCCTAATTAGTAATTTATTACTAAATGATTCTTCAACTTTTCTCTCTCATTCTGTTCATGCAGTTCTCTGGTAACCACAGTGGACACAATTCTGGCATGGTATAAGTGGACAAAACTCCCATTAAATGTAATGGGATTTGTGCCCACTTTATACCATGATATTACATGTTATGTAATTCATTCTATGTCAAATGTATTTTAACCATGATGGAAAGTATAACAAATACAGATGAAATAACTGGGCTGTGATATTTTAACATGGGAAAATGAAGGGATATGCTGACAAGTGCTCTCTTCCATCAGAGAACACTGATGATATTGTAATAGTTTTGCATAGCATTTGAGACTTTTGATCATTTTGAGCATTTGATCAACCACTACAACAAAAAGAAAAGGAGTACTTGTGGCACCTTAGAGACTAACCAATTTATTTGAGCATAAGCTTTTGTGAGCTACAGCTCACTTCATCACTTCAACAACTTTCCCAATTCTGTACTGCCTTAGTGGATAAAAGTCATGGCTTTTAAGTGGCCGGTGTCAATTCAGTTTCCATTGGAAATGAATCCACATCACAGTCACCACCTCAAGTAGCCTTAATAGATACTTGTTTGCCAAGTAAGTTTGCAATAAGGCAAAGGACTGAATGGGCACAGACCCTGAATTTAACACTTCACCCCAGCCCTAGAAGTGATTCGGTCACATTGGGGTTGATGCACATTTGACTGCTATCTTAAGCCTTGTCTGCACTAAAAAGGGTTTGCTGGTATAGTTACACCAGCAACCCCTCACAGCTTATCCCAATTCCCCAAATGAAATAAACCATAGCAGCAAAAACGCTCTTTTTGCTGGTAAAACTGCATCAACACTAGGGCTTTTGGCAGCATGGCTATGTCTGTTATGGGGTATGATTTTTCACACTCCTAACCAACATAACTATGCTGGCAAAACTTAGTGTAGACCTGGATTTTGCTGTATGGACAAAGAGGATTTCAGTCTCCTGGCTAGCAAGCGCAACAGGGAGGTTGTCTGCAACTGTGGGGCACACCATTGTTCCTCACACATCAGTCAGAATTCCTCTGGGTGGTATCTACTGACTCCTGGGTCTCCTTCATAGAGCAGTGTTTACTTTCCAGGGTTCTCTGCTTGATATCCCCTGTCCGATTCCCTTGTTTACACCTATGACCTCACTCCCATTCCTATTTTTCATTTGTTGTCCGCTGCCATCAGTTCCATCCTGTGTCCTATATTTTTCATGAGTACTATATTTCACTAAAAATTTAAGGGAACTGGGCTAGTGGAATGCAAAAATCAAAATCGGGAATGAATGTGCATTTTTGAGAACCCATGCAATTCTATGGATTGTAATTGCTTCTTATACTCCCTCCTTGAAAGCATTTCTATTTTAAAAAAAATATGTAGTACTTTTATTTTGGAAGTACTGTTCCCAGATAAAGACTGTTAAAACTGGAGTTAGTTATAAATGTTTAACAGGTATAAAATACTGAAACTGTTGTGCCTCCTAAAGTGTTATTCCCTTCCTCTTATTTTTAAACTAGATGCAGCAAATGTTTTGGTGATTGGCACAGAAAATGCTGCAAAAGAATATGATCTTGGTATGATTTTTTTCTTCAGGTAAGTTGCAAACCAAGCCTGGCACATATGATACATGGGGATGTAGCAAGCTACTTTGTCAGAGTTCAGGGCAACTGCACCTGAATTTTCTTCTCGTAGTCTGGCAAGGGTACCCTTTCTAGGCTTCAGGCTCCTCAAGCACTCACCTCACTTGGGTAGAGCCCCATGTTTTTCTACAGTGTGAAAGTCAGACTGGCTTAGCAGATAAGCTTTGCTTCTCCTCAGAGGCTATAAATGTGTACATATGCTAATTAGTTTACCAGAGATCCTCCCAACTCCAACAGGGGCTCTGGCAGGTGACCAGCCCTCTCATCCCCACCAAGGGGTTTTCTGTGGTTACAAGTTAATAACAGCTGTTAGTGCAGAACAAGCACCCCGTGAATCTGAGTTCCTCATTGTTAGGCCTCTGATCTTGTCCTCATGTAACAGGTAATGAGCAGACAAAAGTCCCCTTCTCAGGGTGAAGCTTCAAAAGGCTGAGTTGTTGCACAACTGGAGAGGTACATTTGCATACACCTTCCCCTAGAGATTTCCTGGGAAACCCACAATTTTAAAATTCATTCTTGTCCAGCCTATTGGTTCAAATAGTCCTTTGACGCAAATAAAACTTCCCACGGTTTGTTAATCATGTCTCCCCCCTAGGGCATTACAAACAATCCCCCAATAATGCTACACATTTTTATTTTTAATACAATGAACATGTAAGATACTGAAACTTAAATAAGTTAAACTTCTTTGAATTAAAGTGAGTCCAGGCTATTGCAGGAAATTGCCATATCTCACACGTATTTTATTTTAATTATGTTAAAAAAAAAAAAAAGAGAGAGTGTTTCCTTCTGGAGATCCAGGAAACACGATGCAACCACTTACATGTTAAATAATTAAATAATTCTGACTTTAAAACTATATTTGGGTATTTTTTGTATTAAAATTAAAGCATGATTAACAGCATATTTTTATGGGGCTCATATGAAGAATAAGCATTGTAAATTTTCTTGATTCACTTTGTGCAGAGGCAATTCCTGACAATGTGACTGTAGCATTAAAGCACTTTTAGGTACAAAACAATGTAATCTGACCCTCAAGCCTAATGCATCCTTATGTTCTGTTAACACAGGGAAGGGTCTGTTGTGTTTTGGAATGTGGAAGAGAAAACTGTAAGTAGAAAAAGAAGCTGTATTATTTAAATATCAAAGCTGATTAAGGTGAAATTCCTGCAAAGCCTGAGCAGATGGGTTTTGCATAGGTGACCTATGGAGGTGAGGGCAGGATTACATTATTCTCCTCAGTGAAGACAGCCACTTGGTGCTGTATCAGACAAGTGTGGATTGCTCTTGTGTAATCTTCATATCCTGCCTGCTTGCATAAGGTGGACAGGTCTTCCACAGTGCTACTGTTAGAAAATAATATCCCAGTTATAGCAAAGTAGAAGCTCTAAGATGCCTTGCAGACCATGCCACCTAGTGCTGAAAGCCAGTCAAGTCTCATGAATTAACTGGAGTCAAGTCAGGTCAGTATAGCAGTGTAACAACAAGGAACCTCTAGATAATTTTTCAGCATGTGATACTTTTCCCTCTCTTTCAATACTGAACTGCACCTGGATGATATTTTGGGGCACTGTGCTGTTGGATGTGTCATCTTAGACCAGAGGTCCCTCATCTCTTGCAATCACTGTAGATCCCATATCCTGGCCATGTACCAGCTGAAGCTTCCCCTGCAGCCGGAATTGGGTACAGTGGAACTGATTCTTTGTTGCTGTGCACCTTGTAGTTATTTACACAAGTACAAAGTGGATGTAAAATATCAACAGAGCAGAATGGGAGCATTTTATACCTACTTCTAATTCACTTTTCACTAGTTTTTTTTTTTTAAAAACTACACAAGGGTCAGGATAATAGAGAAGCAGATATAACGTCTGGTCTGCACACACTTTTTGTATTGGTGTAACTTGGTTAGGGGTTTGGGGTTTTTTTGTTTTGTTTTTTAAACCAAAATAGTTATACCTGCACAACCCCTAGTATGAAATGCAGTTACACTAGGTGCCACCTACTCATGTATTTTATTTCCCTTATTCTACTGGAATAATCTACACCAGTATAAGTGCCTTTATACCAGTATAACTGAAGGGCACCTTAAATATTACACAGGGTCCTTGGAGGTTGTTGGAAGTTTTGCTTAGTCCCTTGTATGGTCTTTAATTTTCCACGAATGATTTAGCACCTGCCTCTTGATTTCTCTTGAAAAGTCTACAAGGAAGATTTTACATCTAGGCTGTTACATTCAATTGAGGCTTTCAACAGTGTTCCATCTGCTCAACACTTGCTTCACTAGTGGTGGATACACTTGAATAAAATAGAAGACATTTCACTTTTTTATAATGTGCTGACTGCCATATTTAGCCAAATCAGAGAATATTGTAGTTGTTTCAAATCTGAGAAAACCTTGAAGAAAGTAGAAGCACTGCATCTAGCATGGTATTGCTGTAAACCTTTGCTCAGATGCAAATATATAAGCTGTCTGTTGCTAAATTTCTATGTGTTATTTGTATTTTTAATAGGGCTGCCAGTAGAAGGGGGGGAGAAACTTGTTTTGGTGTACAAGTCATTGCACAAGCTTAAAACTAAAATCAATGTTCTTCTTTGAGTGAATCAATGTTTTTAGACTTTTTGGGCTCCAGCTACCCACAGTTCACAGCTTGGGATAGGCATAGATTTAAACTCTTGCCAAACAGAATTCTAACACACTTTGACTGGCCAGTACTGATGGGGCCAAACAGGGTTAAAACCATGATGTTCTAATAAAGGTAAAGACATAAGTTAAACACTTTTAGAACTACTTTAAGATGATTTGGCTCAACTATAGCATCCACCCAAACAGTGTTTAGATTCCCATTTGGCCACAGTCAAATTAAAAGCATGTTTGAGGATTTTTGTTTTTAAAAAAATCCTCAATTTTAAGGCCATTGTAAATAAGGTCCATGTCCTCAAAATTCTTAACTATAAACAGACAAGCTTTCATGTCAAAGAGTGAGGATAATGGTATGGATTATTTACTTTATCTGCAATCAAGGTACTGGTACTGATCAATTCTAGTTCTACTTATTCCAGATTGCACACTACATTTTCAAAGATCTGACAAAAAGGATCATTGCTCTTCAGTTCACTGCAACATCTTCTGCTGAAAGCAATAGAAGACCATATAGACTTCAAAAGACCTATCACAGATTTCACTCCAGATGCAGCTTCGTACTAAAAGACTGGGTGGTTTGGTTTTTGTTTGTTGTGGTTTAGTTTCCTGATTAGCCAACATTTAAACTGCTCTCCACAATCAAATTATATAGCTTCAGTAGGTAATAAACATTCTGATTAAAGAATCTGTTTTCACGTTCCAGTATTCCAGTACAGAATCTTTGAGATTTCAGGTACAAGCTAAAATTCTCTCTTGATCTTAAGTTCTAAGTCTCTCAACAAACAGTATCAAATTGGTAGCATACCTAATGATCTGTATGCCATCTGGAACTTGAACTGCTAGTTGATCTAGTAGAACTACTAGGCTGGCAAATGAGGGAAGAGGTTCAGACAGTTGCTCTGTTTTCCCTTGAGTTGGGGTCTATAAACTTAACCCAAAAGCATTAGCTTTTTAAGAAGCCAGACTTAAAATAGCAGTTTGTTTTTGTAAGTCAAGAAAATAGTTAAATCAAGGTTGCAGACTTAAAGACAGAACTCAAAATGAAGATTCTTTGGCTGAATCTGCTTCATTTTTAAAGGTTAAAAATATGATCTTCACATTAGTGTCCACTGCAGCAGTAGATGGCTGGGGTACCATAAAAAGAAAATGGCTGATAGTTGCCCCATTTCTGCACCACATGACTCGGAGACAAAACACGTTGCTCAAAAGAAATGCACAAGTGAAGCAGAATAAAGTTAGTAATTACTAAGACCATGTGTACACTATCACTTACATCAGCAAAACTTATATCACTCAGGGTGTAAAAAAAAAAAAACACCTCCCCCATCCCAAGTGACAGTGTGCACATCACTATGTCGATGAGAGAGCTTCTCCCGCTGACATAGCTACCACCACTCATTGGAGGTGGTTTAAATATGTCGATGGGAGAAGTCTCTCCCATCAGCATACAGTGGCTACAAGAGAAATCTTACTGCAGCGCAGCTGCATCAGTACAGCTGTGCCACTGTAATGTCTCTAGTGTAGCCAGAGCCCAAGATAGATATACATTAGCTATGGATTTGGGGAGATTGCATGAGCTGTAACTGATTTGGTGCAGAACACCGTTCATATCACTTTGCCTGCCACAAATTTAAATCCTTTTGTTTCTCTAAACACTCATACTGTTGCACTTTACAGAAATGCCATTGCAAAACAATGACTGCACTTTAGCAATGATGTGTTCCAGAGTGCATGCAGTATCTTTGTTGTGCAACAACAAAAACACACCCTTAGATTAGGAGTAAATCTTTTAACTTTAAAAGTTATCCTATCCCCCCCAAACTTAGTTTGATTGTCCTTCCTCAAGAAGGATTTCCATCATGCCAAGTTTAAAGTTCACTCTTTCAGTCATTTGAGTTAAAAACATAAAAGAGACAGGAAAATATTCTTATGAGGGGAAAAGTGTAGTTTTTTTCCCATTCAGCTTGGGACGTGATGTTATAGCATGTCCTCACCTTGAAATAGCTCCGCCTTGTGTGTCCTTGCAGCATTGTTGGGGCCCTAGTTTCAGGCACCCCTTTTTCTGGTTACTTCCTCCTGATGGCTTGTCCGTCTGGGTCTTTTATGTGATTTAGCCGAATAGCCAGGTTATAGAAGTTCACTCCCCTTCTGAGGTAACAAGAAGTCCAACTGAAAGTCCACAACAAATACCCAAACTAACAGTTCTTCTGCCCCTCTCAGGCTCCACTGAAGTCCTCTGTTTCTTGGTCCCTACTCCTAGCCCCTGCAAAACATCTCTTTTGTCTTAGTTCCTCCCCAGCCAGATTTCCCCCACTGCTTCCCTTCCCGAGGGACACTGGCAGCTTCACTTAGGGGCTACAAGTAGCTGGGAGATCCCTATCTCAGGGCTCCCGCAGGGGTGCCTACTCTGTTCCTGTGGATCTCTTCTAGAACACCAGCCCCAGGACTGGCTCCTTGTTCCAGAGGCTCACCACAGGAGTTTGCTTACTCTGTGGCTCAGCTCACAAGCCACAGCCAGTCCCAACTTGCTGGGCTTTTCCTGTGGAATTGTCCTTCCTCCTCTGCAGTCTCTCCCTCTAGGCTGAATTTCCAGCTCTATTTAAGAAGTCCCATATAATTCTCTGCAGCTGCGATCACAAATGATCATTAAGTTGTTATCACTGTCAGTTGAGGGTAAACTGGTAGGTCACAAGTGAGGCTAAGCCCAGCTTGATTTAAAGGGCCAGCCAGCCTGTAACAGGTGGTGAGCCAGGTTAGCTCAGATTTTCTATTCAATCTCAGTGTAAAGATGGCGTTACTGTTTTATGACAGGCGCAACCCCAAAGTAACATTTATCAAAAAGTTATCAAAAATTAAAAGGGCGATGAATAGAAATATCAATTTAGCTTGTCATGAATAAATGTTATAATGAGCACAGTGTACAAAGTCTTGCTTTGGATCCAGAATCTGAAACCTTTATCATGTGAGATTGACAGAAGAAAAATAAATATCCTCCTAACTGTACTTATTCAAGGAGCAGCATAGAAAATGCAAAATGCAGCTAAGTCCCATGTTTATACCTAACCTATGAGGGTAGCTAAAAGAACACACTAAATTATGTCTTCCTGAAGCAGGGAGTACGAGTTAGAGAAAACATGATCAAACCATTCTTTTGTCTCTGGTATTTGATGCGTATCAAGTGTTTGTGGTGGAAGTGCGAGTCTACCATAAAAATAATAAGAAGCATTATTCAGTTATTCTTCAGAAGAAACAAAAGAAAATACATCTGCGGATTCCAACATACAAGTGACAGCAACAAATCTTTCAGGAGTGTCGTGTGCTGAAAGTATCCAGAGGAAACGTTCTCTGAGTGTACTGGGAATGTTTTGTGTCCAAGCCTACAGAGTCTTACATTTATGTAATGCCTTTTATCCAGAGGGTAAACAAAGATCCCAACAAAGTTTCTTCCATGTATGTACAGAGTAGTTTGTAGTTACAGTACTTGTGTGAAATCATTATGGGCCTGAGCCAAACCTTGCGAGCCCAAGCTCTGGCCTGAGCTGCAATGTTCACTCTATTTTTAGCATGCTAACTGAAGCTGTGCTAGCATGCTAGAAAGCTCACTCCCAGCTGCAATGTGGACATACCCTTTAAGTCAATGGGAATCTTTCTGTTGACTTCAGTGGGCTTTGGATCAGACCCCAAATAGATACAAGCAATCTGCCGGTGAAGTGTAGCCACTTCTGGGATGGAACACAACAGCATAGAGCAGGGGTCGGCAACCTTTCAGAAGTGGTGTGCCAAGTCTTCATTTATTCATTTTAATTTAAGGTTTCATGTGCCAGTAATACATTTTAACGTTTTTTAGAAGGTCTCCCTCTATAAGTCTATATATTATATAACTAAACTATTGTCGAATGTAAAGTAAATAAGGTTTTCAAAATGTTTAAGAAGCTTTCAATTTAATTTAAAATTAAATTAAAATGCTGATCTTATGCTACCGGCCCGCTCAGCCCGTTGCCAGCCTGGGGTCCGTTCACCTAGACCGGCAGCAGGCTGAGCGGGGCCTGCGGCCGGGACTCCAGCTGGCATGGGGCCGGCAGCCAGAACCCCAGACCAGCAGCGGGCTGAGCAGGGCTGGCAGCTGGGACCCCAGCAGCTCAGCCCACTGCCGGTGTGGGGTTTCGTCCTCCGGCCCCTGCCAGCCAGGACCCCGCTCAGCCCGCTGCCGGTCTGGGATTCCAGCCCTGCCCACATAGAGTGGGTACCTCCTTCTCCCTGGTTCTAGCCCATTCTCTTCCTCTCTCTCTGCACTGAGCTGAGAGTGGGAGTGCACTGAGCATAGGGCTGGGGCTGAAGGAGCAGGCTGAGGGTGGGAGTGCACTGAGCACAGGGTTTGGCCAGGAGTTAGAATGAGGGAGGGAGCTCAGGGTTGGGGTAGGAGGTTTGGGTGTAGAGTGCTTACCTGGACAGCTCCCATTTGGTGTGAGGGGTGCAGGTGGGAATGTGGGAGGGGGGGTGCAGGAGCTCCCGTTTGGTGCTCAGGGTGGGGGTGGGAATGTGGGGGATGCAAAAATCAGGGCATGGGGGGGCTGGGTATGTGGGAGGTTGCAGGAGTCAGGGCAGAGGGCTGGGGGCATGTGAGGGTGGTGCTGGAGTCAGGGCTTGGGTTGTGGTGGGGTACAGGGGTCAGGGCAGAGGGCTGGGAGTGTGTGGGGGGTGCAGGGGTCAGGACAGGGGGCTGGGGTATGGGGGGGTGTAGGGGTCAGGGCAGAGGGTGTGGGCTAGGGTCGTGGGGGTGAATCATAGAATATCAGGGTTGGAAGGGACCCCAGAAGGTCATCTAGTCCAACCCCCTGCTCAAAGCTGGACCAATTCCCAGTTAAATCATCCCAGCCAGGGCTTTGTCAAGCCTGACCTTAAAAACCTCTAAGGAAGGAGATTCTACCACCTCCCTAGGTAACGCATTCCAGTGTTTCACCACCCTCTTAGTGAAAAAGTGCTCCCAACCCCCTGCCCAGAGCGGCTCACAGCAGGGGGCTGGAGGGGATATGCCCTGATTCCACTCCCCCTTCCCAAAGGCCCTGTCCCCACCTCCTCTCCACCTCCTCCCCTGCCGCTTCTCCCCCTCCTCTCAAGGGCCATCAGCTGATCGGCAGCAGGGAGAGAGAGGAGGAGGGGCAGGAACCCAGCATGGCAGGGGAGGGGGGAGCTTGCCTGCCCTGCAGCAGCAGCCGCCAGGACCAAGCTTCTTCACCCTGCCCCCGCGTGATGGGGGTGGACCAGAGAAGAGCGGGCTGGGGCGGGCAGGATTTTTAATGGCACGCTGCTGCCTGCCGGGGTCCCGGCCACTGGCCCCGCTCAGCCCACTGCCGTCCTGGGTTCGGCAGTGGGCTGATTGGGGCCAGCGGCTGGGACCCGGCAGACAGCAGCATGCTATCTTTGGCACACGTGCCATAGGTTGCCAACCCCTGGCATACAGCAATGATGCATGACAGCTGGAAATGAAATGAAGAAAATTAAGAGGAAAACTGCATCAATGAAGGAAATGAAAAGGAAAACTGCATTAATTTGTAAACTGCACGCGGCATTTAGCTAGGCAGACAGGAATTACCCAAATAGGAATGGCCAGAGAATGAATCATAGAATATCAGGGTTGGAAGGGACCTCAGGAGGTCATCTGGTCCAACCCCCTGCTCAAAGCAGGACCAATCCCCAATTAAATCATCCCAGCCAGGGCTTTGTCAAGCCTGACCTTAAAAACTTCTAAGGAAGGAGATTCTACCACCTCCCTAGGTAATGCATTCCAGTGTTTCACCACCCTCCTAGTGAAAAAGTTTTTCCTAATATCCAACCTAAACCTCCCCCACTGCAACTTGAGACCATTACTCCTTGTCCTGTCCTCTTCTACCACTGAGAATAGTCTTGAACCATCCTCTCTGGAACCACCTCTCAGGTAGTTGAAAGCAGCTATCAAATCCCCCCTCATTCTTCTCTTCTGCAGACTAAACAATCCCAGTTCCCTCAGCCTCTCCTCATAAGTCATGTGTTCCAGACCCCTAATCATTTTTGTTGCCCTTCGCTGGACTCTCTCCAATTTATCCACATCCTTCTTGTAGTGTGGGGCCCAAAACTGGACACAGTACTCCAGGTGAGGCCTCACCAATGTCGACTAGAGGGGGACGATCACGTCCCTCGATCTGCTCGCTATGCCCCTACTTATACTTCCCAAAATGCCATTGAAGGTTAGCGGCCCTACTTTTTGAGTATAGTGCTATGAAAGTTTAATGATTGTCTCAGCTAGAACCTGGATTTTTGTTCTCATGTAAATGACAGTAGCTTCAGCAAATAACAAGCCTATGATTTCCTAGCTAAACAAATAAAGGCCGTTAAGTTCAGCAGCAGAGTGTTTCATGGCCCAAGTATTCAGTAGTTTCTAAGGGGAAGGTGTGCTGCCTACTGAATCACTAATATTCAAAGTCCTATAGCACTGTGGATTCTCCTCACAGGTCTATACAAATGCTGATCAGGCCTGATCCTGCTTGGCCTACAGGATCTTGTGAGATCACAGCCGTAGATATTATGACTGCTATAAAAATGAAAAATACTTTATCTCAGCAATACAAATCAGAATTTCTCTACCTTTTTAGCAGTAATTCTTGGAATACTTGGCAGACCTTAGACCAGTGGTTCCCAAACTTGTTCCACTGCTTGTGCAAGGAAAGCCCCTAGTGGGCTGGTCCGGTTTGTTTACCTGCCACATCCACAGGTTCGGCCGATCGTGGCTCCCAGTGGCCGCGGTTCACTGCTCCAGGCCAGTGGGAGCTGCTGGAAGTGGCAGCCAGTACGTCCCTCGGCCTGCACCGCTTCCAGCAGCTCCCATTGGCCGGAAGCAGTGAACCGCAGCCAGTGGGAGCCACGGTCGGCCAAACATGCGGAGGCAGCAGGTAAACAAACCAGCCCAGCCCGCCAGGGGCTTTTCCCTGCACTAGCAGCGGATCAAGTTTGGGAACCGCTGCCTTATACACGTCAGTATTTAATTCAAAATGATACGGCAATATTTCAGAAATTGGATCCCTTCATAAAAACATATGGCAATGACTCTTATAGCATCATGTATATTGTCAATAAATATTATGAAAGCAACGAAGGAAGCTAACACCGCAGAGAAAATTATAGTCTTGTGTGGGATTGAACTGATTTTAAAGTACCTGTCTTTGGAAACTGCTTTATTAGAAATTGATTAAGCTAAAATTTTGCATTGAAAGATCCACTATTCTCCTTATGTTGAAGAGATAAGTGTTTAAAACATGGGTACCCTAGCAGTGAGTATAGTATAAGTGCCTAGATGGCACAATCTTTTGGCCAAATTAGTTTAGAATTTCTGTTCTAAAATGTACAGTGTCAGAAAGTCTTGTACTATGGAAGATTTTCTGAATGGGATGTAAAATAAAATTAAAATGGTTACTTTATCCTAATGCAAGAAGGTATTTTCACCACACCTTTAACATTATTTAAATAAGCATCAGCGTACAGCTTTAATTTTATGTATTAGATATTTGAAGACTTATGTGGGGCAGTTGTGTAGTATTTGCTAACCATTTTAATAATGCGCAATTGTCTTTTTTTCTAGATGAAGAAAATAATGCAAGTGCTGGAGCGGCATGAAATTCAGCCTTATGAAGTTGCACTGGTTCACTGGGAGAATGAAGAAATTAACTACAGGAGAGGAGAGTAAGAATTTTTATGCATCCTTTACCCAAAAACATTTCTTCCCTACCTCTCCTCCAAAGGAGTAAGATAAGTGTTTTGAGGGGTCAGTAATATGGGCTACAAACACTAAATACATCGGTCTTAATGGAGTATGCATTAATGTTTTCTTGAAAAATATGGCTTTGCAGCATTACTTGTGATCTTGATTATTTACTGATCTCACTAAAGTAGCAGAGTAATCTCCATGGCTTCATAATTGTAAGTGCTCTTCAGCAGTCTCAAATGGAAAAACTCACACCTCATGAGGGCAGATATAAAGGAAAGGTGCATATTGAGACAGCTCTGATACAGAATGGTCATCACAAGGAGTATCTTGCCTTCTTAGCCACATTGAAGTACACTGAAAACATAACAGTTTCTAATAGGGGTAAAAGTGGCATATCATGGAAGAAGATGTGTGACCTTTCTTGACTTGGTTGCTTGTTAAATCATATCTTGAGATCATGATAAGCTAAAGTTCTTGTTCAGAAAGATTTTTCATTGCAAATCATTGCTATTTCATAGAATACATTGTATTTAGTCATTTGTAGTACAATGCTGCTACATAAGATGGTCAGTTTCATAGCCAATGGAAAACTGAATGTATTGTAAATTATGGAATCTGTAACTATTGAATTGCTCCATTGTTTTTAGCTTCTCCTTCACCAGCATTTGTACTTTACATTTCGGATGCTTCGCAGACTCTGAGGTGGGACTTATGCAAGGCACCTTGAAACTTGCAGGACTCATGACTTCTACTTTGCTGCTGACACACTGAAGACAGCTGTTGGGGAGGAGTATCACAATTCAAGAAGGGAAAGGAGCGGAAATAGAGTGACAGAACAGAGTAGGAGAGATAAAACAAGAACAGTGAAGTAGAAAGAGAGAGCACAAGAGGGGGGGAGGAGAAGTGAGTGGGAAAGAGAAGTCCATAGTCCTGCTGTTTCTCTGAATTTTCTCAGTAGTGTTGCAGTTGTTGTAGAAGATACTAATATTAGGTTTTTGCAGAGGAGTTGCTGGTGTAGAGGTTGAAGAAAGGGCTCCTGGTGGGTTTTCTCTCGCTTTAATCGTGACTGAGAGCAAAATGCAAGGAAGTAAGATGGAGCAGTCATATACACTGCTCCATGTTTTTAAATTTTAAAAAGATGCATGAGGAATTTCCTTGTGTAAAGGATTCTACCCTGACTCTTCATTTTAGAGGTGACTTAGTCAATGAATATGTCTCAATCCTATTTTTACAGAGGCCAGTCAAAGCTCCACAGAGGAGAAATCTTGTTAAATTCTGACCTGGATATTGAGGAAGTAATTCTGCAGAAATTTGCCTTTTCAAATGCTCTTTGCCTTTCTGGTAAGCTAATACTTTATGTAGTTTCCAATTTTACTTAAGATTGTGAAATGCCATCACAAATTTGGACATATACAATAACAGGGATGGAGGGAGAAGATGACCTTAAGCAAACTTTATATATGTATCAAATGGTGAATGTCTGTTTTCCATGTGGGTACCTGCTGTTTTCACATGGGTTACTCTCATTCATGAAAGTGAGGTATGCACATAAGTTGCCAGAGGCTAAATGGGAGGATTACTCTCATAGTTTTTAACTTGTGTTTTGTAAATTGGAGCCCTACTTCAATCACAGGTAAATCTTTTAAAACAACATGCTTGAGGAAACATTTTTTTTTTTTAGTTTACATCTTTTCCCTTCCCCAGCCCTAAATACTCTTCTAGTATTAGATGAACTAGAAGATAGCAGCAGTTTGTGCTTGGCGCACATAGAGTTTAATGGAATCTTGAAACATTGGCAGATAGGCACTGTATTTTATGATTACTTGAAATCTGAGACAACACATGAGATGTAATGTGCTATTTTGTTAATTTTTTGTTGCAGTAAAACTGGCCATTTGGGAATCATCCTTGGATAATTTTGTGGAATCTATCCAGTCAATTCCTGAGGTGAAATTTCTGTTTACTTGGGTTGTTTTTTTTTTTAATTCTTTGTAAAGAATTAATTTTATCAGGAAAGAGATATTGGGAAAGCATTTGAATGGCTAATAGATTTGACTGTAAAGCCAAAGCAGGTATAGAAGCTCAGAGTGGGTGGAATCTGCACTGGGTGGAATAAGGAAAGATGTTTAAAACCTTTTTTAAAGGGAGGTGATTGTCTGCATTGAAAAATGTTTTCACACAGGTGCACTTGCTAGAACATGCATGTGCATGTACAATAAAGTATCTACCTTTTCAAAATTCGGTCAGAGAATAGTGCAGCATCCCTGATCTAAATCAAAATCTAAATCATCATGAACTTGATTAAAATCTCAAATGTGAATAACTCAAGTAAAGAGTTTTCCTGATATTTTAATTAAATCAAGATTGCAATGTCCCATATCACTTATGTAGAAACCACAGCATTGAAAGCACAACTCTAGTGACTTCTTTCTCTGGGGAAAGGGGTGGAAATCCTTAGCCAGTCTCTTTAAAAACAATTTATTCACTTTTTTTAAGCCTCTCAAAAGAAGAAATTAAGAAAGCTCAGTAGTTACAGGATAAGAGAGAAAGTTCTATCATATGTTAGAAACTGAATAGAGACTAAACAGTATAAAAGGGAATAAGTGGTCCATTTTCAGCCTGACAAAAGTTTTAACAAGGGGTGTTCCAAGGGTCTGTGTTAGGAGTGGTGGTGTTTAATATATTGATCAATGATCTAGAAAAAGGTTGACCAGTTGTATGTGACACAGCAGGTTACCAAATTATTTAGGTAAATCAAGACTATAGAAGACTAAGGATCCCCAGAGCGACCTAACAATGCAAGCTAAATGGGCAGTAGAGTAGCAGATGAAATTCAGTGTTGATAAATGTGCAGTAGTGCACATTAGAAGGAATAGTTTGAACAACTGGTACAATGCTCAGGTTGTAGGATTCATGGTTTTTTTTTTTAACCGATCTTAAATAAAATAAGCAGTTATGGAATGTCTTTGGCTAACGATTTATCACTAACTTCTCTGCAGATATTAAAATCAAGAAAAAAAGTGAAACTCTCTCATGCTGATGTAATGCAGAAAATTGGGGAACTCTTTGCCTTACGGTAAACTTTTTTTTAAGGGCTCACACCCTATCATTTCAAAAAGTATATTAATAGATTCTTAGAGTCCCAACGCCAGAAAGAAAGAACTTCTGTGGCCCATGATTAAAGGATTGGCAAACATTCCTTATAGTGATAATCTCGAGGAGCCCAATCTATTTAGTTTAACGAAGCAAAGGCTAAGGGATAATTTGAACCCAATTTATAAGTATCTACATGGGGAACAAACATTTGATAATGGGTTCTTCAATCTAGCAGAGAAAGGTATAACACAATCCAGTGGCTGGAAGTTGAAGCTAGACAAATTCAGACTGGAAATAAGGTGTACTTTTTGAGCAGTATGGCTAATTAGCCATTGGAACAGTTTAGCAGGGGTTGTGTTGGATTCTCCAAAACTGGCAATTTTTAAGTCAAGATATGAGGAGTTTTACTGTGATAAAAACGATTCCTTTGTTGTGTCCCTCTCACAAATCACGTAAGTCTGACTGTAATACACATTACTATATATGTCCCATACAACTTACATTCAGTAAGTTAACAGGTGGAAGGGGAAAAAAGGACTATGAAGACACACAGCTATGATACAAACACTACCTGCTAAGGCTCTGGATTTCATATCCTCACCTAGAGGAGCCTGTTGCCCGTGGGCTGGGGGAAGCTATTGTTAGTGATCCTGATAACCGTCCCAGCATTCAATATCTGTTTTGTGCTGGAGGTGGGAGATATTACAAAGTAACTTTGATGCTGTTGTGACAGGCCTGGGAAGGTGCTTCACACTCAAGTCTATTGTTGTAGGTGCTCATCACCTGAGGCCTAAGCATTCTGTCACAATAAGTTTGTTTATTTCAGAACCATCTGTCTGTACTGATTGCTGTATAGCAAAAAGTGATTCATTCATGAGGGTCTAGTGACTTTCCGTATTCTCAGAACAACCAATTTAAGCAATTCTTACTGTTTAGTATTAATCTCCTGTCCTCGGATTTGTATTTTCTATAGGGAATAAGGGGAAATACTTCATACAGTGACAGTTGATGTTTTTAAAATAAACACTGTAGAAACTGGTAGGAAACTGAATAAACTTTAATCATTGCTTTGAAATAGCAATATAAATATTTGAACCTTTAACTCCCTAAAAAAAATTTTAACTACCATAACCATCCTTCTTTAGGCACTGTATAAATCTGAGTTCAGACCTGCTGATAACTCCTGACTTCTACTGGGACAGAGAGAATCTTGAAGAGCTTTATGACAAAACCTGTCAGTTTCTCAGCATTAATCGCAGAGTTAAAGTAAGTTTTTCGCACTTAGGAGGTTCTCCCTCACCCATAACAACTACATAAGAACGGCCATATTGGGTCAGACCAAAGGTCCATCTAGCCCAGTATCCTGTCTTCGGACAGTGACCAATGCCAGATGCCCCAGAGGGAATGAACAGAACAGGTAATCATCAAGTGATCCATCCCCTGTTGCCCATTCCTAGCTGGCAAATGGATGCTAGGGACACCATCCCTGCCCATTCTGGCTAATAGCCATTGATGGACCTATCCTCCATGAATTTATCTAGTTCTTTTTTGAAGCCTGTTACAGTCTTGGCATTCACAACATTCTCTGGCAAAGAGTTCCACAGGTTGATTGTGCTTTTTGTGAAGAAATACTTCCTTTTGTTTGTTTTAAACCTGCTGCCTATTAATTTCATTTGGTGACCCCTAGTTCACGTGTTATGAGAAGGAGTAAATAACACTTCCTTATTTACTTTCTCCACACCCGGCATGATTTTATAGATCTCTATCATATCCCCCCTTAATCGTCTCTTTTCCAGGCTCAAAAGTCCTAGTCTTATTAATCACTCCTCATACGGAAGCCGTTCCATACCCCTAATCATTTTTGTTGCCCTTTCTGAACATTTTCCAATTCCAATATATCGTTTTTGAGATTGGGTGACTACATCTGCACACAGTATTCAAGATGTGGGTGTACCAGGGATTTATATAGAGGCAATATGATATTTTTCTGTCTTATTATCTATCCCTTTCTTGATGATGCCTAACATTGACTGGATGTTTTCAGAGAGCTATCCATAATGATTCCAAGATCTTTCTTGAGTGGTAACAGCTCATTTAGACCTTATCATTTTATATGTATAGTTGGGATTATGTTTTCCAATGTGCATTACATGGCATTTATCAACATTAAATTTCATCTGCCATTTTGTTGCCCAGTCACCCAGTTTAGAGAGATTCTTTTGTAGCTCTTCTCAGTCTGCTTGGGACTTAACTATCTTGAGTAGTTTTGTATAATCTGCAAATTTTGCCACCTCACAGTTCACCCCCTTTTTCAGATCATTTATGAATATGTTGAATAGGACTGGTCCCAGTACAGACCTCTGGGTAACACCACTATTTACGTCTCTCCATTCTGAAAACTGACCATTTATTCCTACCCTTTGTTTCCTATCTTTTAACCAGTTACCAATCCATGAGAGGACCGTCTCTCTTATCCCATGACAGACTCTGGTTAGTCTTCTGCTGAGCAAGACTACTCCATGAGTTTTTATAAATTTGACTCTGTCCAGTGAAGCAGAGATTGAGAGAGTGACCTGGATTTTTTAATGGTTTTAAACTATTAATTAATAAAAGTTCAATATTATTTACTGCACAAAGATATTTTGTAGAAAATAATAGGGGCCTGTAAGTTGCATCCTCTTCTAAGTTTGTCTTTATTTGCATTTTTTCTGTGACAGATTCATGATACTTCCCCATTTTTGGCCATGACAAACAGCTAACTTTTATCATTCAGGCTTACATGTAAAGAGTATTTTTTGTAAGCCTTTAAATAAAGTTTTAAACAGGAAGAGCTTTTCTTTTGTTCTAAAATACCAAACCGTATGTAAAGAAGCAAATAAAATTTTTTCTTCTGCTTTTGGGGTTTTTTTTATCAAGTAAAAGTGTCTTAAAGAAACAGAGGAGTTAAAAGGCCACTGAGGTGCAAAGCAATCTTTTTAGCTAAACCAAAGAAGGTTCCTGTGACACCTTAATCAATTGGTAGAATGAGCTGTAGTAAAATGAACATGCTGCTTAGGCCTTGTCTACACTACAGAGTTTTGTCGACACAAGTTATGCTGACGATTGAAAACCGGTATAATTACATTGCTTGTGCATATTCAGACAATGCTCCTTCTGTTGGCAGAGCACGTCCATAGTTGGTGCACTGTGGGTCGCTATCCCACTGTGCAACTTGCCACCTTCTTCATCTAGGAGTTGTGGAAAGGCAGAGTGTATCATGGGTGTGGGCTCAACATCTCATGATGCAGTTTTTTTCCGTCCCTTTATTCCATGGGCTTCCAATTGCATTTCGCAGCATTTTTCAGCAGCCCCAGTTTACTGTGTGCCTGCTATCTCTGTCTCAAAGGATGGATCCTGCACTGCTCTCTACTGTTGTGGGCACTGTTATGAACAAATCGCGGCTGGTCATTCAGTGTATCATGAACAGGAATCAGAGGTGCCTGACCTGCTGCGTGCCATGGAAAGAACAGATTACTTTTGGCATTCACAGAGCAGCTGCACACAGTGGACCATTGCTTTTGGGCTCGGGAAACAAACACTGAGTGTTAAGATCGCATCATTATACAGGTCTGGGGTGACAAGCAGTGGCTGCAGAACTTTCGGATTTGGAAAGCCACCTACCTGGAACTGTATGTGGAGCTTGCCCCAGCACTGTGGCACAAGGACACCAAAATGAGAGCTGCCCTCTTGGTGGAGAAGGGCGCGGCAATTGCCGTGTGGAAGCTGGTAACGCCAGACTGCTACCAGATGGTCGCGAATCAGTTTGAAGTCGGTAAGTCCACTGTTAGGGTGGCAGTAATGCAAGCATGCGGGGCCATTAATCGCATCCTGCTACAAAGGACTGTGATTTGGCAATGTGCGTGAAAGAGTGGTTACTTTGCGGCAATGGGATTCCCTAGCTGCAGCGGAACAATAGATGGCACACAGATCTCAATTTTGGCCCTGGACCATCTTGTGATGCAGTACATCAATAGAAGGGGTACTTCTCTGTGATATTGCAGGGGTTTGTGGATCACCGTGGGCATTTCACTGACATCAGTGTGGGGTGATCCAAGAAGGTGCATGACGCATGCATCTTCAGAAACACTGTCCTGTACAGAAAGCTGGAAGCAGGGACTTTATTTCCAGACCAGAAGATTCCAGTGGGGAATGTTGGAATGCCCATAGTGATCCTGGGAGATGCAGCGTACCCCTTACTCTCATGGCTCACAAAGCCTTACCCTGGAAACCTGGACATCAGCAAGGAGCACTTCAACAATAGGCTGAGCAGGTGCAGAATGACCATACAATGTGCCTTTGGTAGATTAAAAGCATGCTGGTGCTGTCTTTATGGCAAGTTAGACCTCAGTGAGGAAAATATTCCCAGGGTCATAGCAACCTGCTGTGTGCTCCATAATATTTGTAAGGCTCAGGGTGAAAAGTTTTCCCCGAGGTGGAGTGCGAAGGTGGATCGCCTTGTGGCTGATCTTGAGCAGCCAGCTACCAAGGCTATTAGAGGGGTACAACGGGGGGCCTATTTGAATCAAGGAGGCTTTGAGGCACTGTTTTGATAATGAGCACCAGTAATGTGTCCTTGTATACAACTGTCTGCCGTGCTTTGCTAACTTGCCATCTTTCATGGACATTTTGATGATTCCTGATAGTGATTTGTAATCAGCAAATGATCAAGTTGCAGCTGTGTCTTAATTCCAGCAGCAGCCACTGTGTGTAAGAGACAAATAAAGATTGGTTATCTTTCAAAGAGTATGTTTTTATTAAATACCAATTAACAACACACACAAAAGGCTTAGTGGGAAAGGAGATAACAATGAAGGGCAGTGTAGCCTCTTGTAGCTGTGTGTTAACCCAGCTATCATTTTGGAAGCTGTCCAAAGGGGTGGAGTGAACAAGGTACCGACATGGTCTGGGAAGTTGCAAGGAATATGTGGGAGGAGTTTGGGAGGGCATGGAAAGAAGTTCTGTATTGACTGCAGGGGTATCGAGCATGCATGAATTCTGCTTGTAGCATGATTAGGGACTTCAACATCTTTGTTTGCTCCTCCATCACTTTCATCATCCCCTCCTGGCCCATTAGAGTTCACTCCTGGCTCTCTTTTCTGTCTTGTTTTATAATTTTCTTTTAAAGTCTCTCTCCATGCCCTGCGTTCTTGTTTTTTGGCCTCCTGCGGGTAACAGGGGTGCAACTCCTGCACGCGTGCGACTTCAGACTTGGTCCCTATACTGCTTACCTGTATGCCGCTTTGATCCCTACACAAGTGATTGCCAATTGGCGCAGGAAGGTTTCCTATAATTGTGGGGAGGAACAAAGCAGCTCTGCCAAGGAACCTTCGGCAGAGGATTAGCGAGTACCTCCAGGAGTGTTTCCTAGAGATCTCTCTGGAGGATTCCTGTGAAATCTTGGTATGCATTAACACACTGTTCCGCCACACCACTTAGCTGCATAGGGGAATGGGAAGCACATGCAAACCCAGCTAGTCTTTTACATTTCTATCCCTTCACCCACTTTTAGAATGTACAAAGCAAAGGACAGCTCTACTCCATATAACCAAGCAGCATCAAGTCAAATAGGTCATTTACCAGGGCTCTCGTCTCCTGCATAATGTGAGCCAGAGACAAACTGCTGAGACTGGCTAGATCCCTTCGGAGTGGAAAAGAGGTCCTGACTTGCCACTGGATGACTCTGCCATGTGTTCTACATCATCTTCCAGTTTAACCTCCTCATCCACAACTTTGTCCTTGTGGTCGTCTGCTGTCTCCCCCCGCCGAAGTATCCACGGGGCTCTTGGTGGTTGAGGTGGGGTCGCCAACGAGGATGGCGTCCAGCCCCTTATAGAAGCAGCAGGTCTTCGGTGTAGCACCAGCATGATGGTTTGACTTCCTTGTCTTCTGGTACACCTCTCTCAGTTCCTTTATCTTCGAACGGCACTGATGCTTGTCCTGTTCGTATCCCATATTCAACATGCCCTGAGAAATCTGACCATAAGTATTGAAGTTCCTACAGCTGGAGCAGAGCTGGGACTGCACAGCCTCCTCTCCCCATAGTGCCAGCAGATCCAACAACTCAGGTGTGCTCCAAACAGGAGAGCCTTTGCTGCGTGGAGCTGCAATGGTCAGCTGGGAAGATGCGATGCGAGCTGTCCATGCCGAGCAAACATTTCAAAAATTCCTGTGCCTTTAAAGGGGGAGTGACAGATGCCTGTGTACCTGGATGCAGGGCAGCGGAGTTTGAACCACTGACCAGAGTAGTCAGGATGGGCATTGTGGGACACTTCTTGGAGGCTATTTACAGCAACATAACCAAGCGCAGTGTCTACACTGACACTTTGTCGATAGAACTTTGGCACAAAAAGCTCTACACCTCTCGTTGAGGTAGTTTTATTTTGTTGGCTAAGCAGGAGTGTTTTGTTGGCAGAAGGAGCATTGTAGTTTGTGCACCTCCACTGTTTTGTTGACGAAACTCTGTATTGCAGACAAGGTCTTAGGGTAAGTTACCTATTTAATGGCCTGAACCAGAGGTCAGCGACTGTTGATCTCAGTGGAAGTTACAGGCTCTTAATCCCAATCACTGACTGTCACAGAAGGAAAAAAAAACCTTGAATGAGATGCAACAGAAAATTAAATCAGAGCCTTTTAATATTAGAAGTCTCTGAATTCTTGGGATATATAAAGTACCTTCCATTTGAGGAACCTTTTTTCCCCAACAGCGTTGGTTGTGACATAAAAGGAGTTTTAGTGGACACCAAAGGGTAAGAAGGGTGTTATGAGTCCTGTGAAGAAGAGCTGGGTATCTTTTCTTAACCCAAAATTGTATTACACAGCTGCTTAAATAAAAAGACAGTGACAAAGTCAAGACAGGTTTCACTGTGTGAATACTGAATAGGCTAGATTCATACATTGTCGGTGATAGGGAAACTCAAGTTACAGAAGTCCCCTTCCTCCAGAATTGTTTTGGAAGGCAACATCTCACTTTGCTCCAGTAAATCACTCAGTTCACTGTTCTCAGCACTGCCCTGAACTGCATCAGCAGGTAGACTAACCCAAAGATGTGTCACAGACATTGCCTATTGCTTACTTAATCTTTGACCTATTAATCTGTTTAAAAGTTTCTGGCTATGATGGACCTGATAGTATTGGGGATGGTGGGGAGCTAAAGGAAGTTATACCTGCCTAATGGTGGGATGTTGAGAGTCTTAAATCATTAGTGTTTGTAAAGGACTCTGAGGATTTTGGATGAAAGGTGCTATAAAAGGATCAAGTGGGTGCGAGCTCATTCTACGAGAGCGCAAGGTATGTCAATAGTGTTTCTCAGTGATGTCTCAATATTGGACATTCGCGAGGCTGACGTGGTCATCAATACATATGTTTTCGAACCATTCTGCCATTACCACATCATCCAAAGCAGATGCAAATGTTGGGCAGTCCTGCAGTCTTTGTTTAGATCAGGGGTTCCCAACCTATGGCCCATGGCCATACAAGGTCCACCAGAGCATTTCATAAGGTCCACGGACTGCTTCAACACAATATACTAATGGCCAATTCATTACTGGTTTTTTTCCTGTTTACTGTAATTCATCTGATACGTGTTTTATGCACTGATTTCTTTGTTTTTAAATAGACAATATCATACCTACATTGTTTCTATCTAAATACATACGAAACAAGCTGAACTTAAAATATAAATCAATACAGGTGCCTTTAAATCTTATTAAAATATGTAGAAATCTGTTCAGCCACACAAGGTTGTGCTTAGATTTATGTGGCACTCCTTTGTGATAAGGTTGGGCACCACTGGTTTAGATAAACTCCTGAGGTGCGCACTGCTTGAGTCACACAAGTTGAATACATAGCTGCATCTACTTGAAGAAGAAACAGTTACTTACTGTAAATGGTTCCTCGAGATGTGATGCAGACATGTATTCCACAATCCCCCATCCCATCCCTTCTGTATCAGTCTAGTCGCGGGGCATTCGGTGTGATGAACTGAGAGGGTCAAGGTGGCATTGCCTCATATAGCCAAGGGAGGGGCTGTGTGGTACAACAAGGGGCTGTGCTGTACACTTTTGCATAGGGAAAAATCTCTGTCAGCCTGGGAACCAAACAGTCGTGTTTAAGTTAGACAATTTCTGCATTTGGTTAGCTTTCCTTAATGATTTAATAGAATTTGTTTAACTCAGGCTTTCTGTAAGTGCAGACTCTTCAACTGAAAGCATATATTTTTGCTGCAGGTAATGAATGAGAAACTTCAGCACTGCATGGAGCTGACGGACCTGATGCGAAATCACCTGAATGAAAAACGTGCCCTGCGCTTGGAATGGATGATAGTCATACTCATCACTATAGAGGTGAGTTTGGTGTTCAGTTGCCACGCTTTTAATCATCACTCTGAAGAAGAAAATTAAATAATGAAAATATTATGATGCAGGAGTCACCCATTGTTGCAGGGTTACATAAGCAGCTGTATATTTTACATGGCATGATTTGAAATATCCTGGAATAATTTATGCTTATGTAGCCTGTGTGTAGGAATAAGTCTTCAGTTTTGGTTATTTCATGTATCATCACTGAGCCTTTTCTTTTGATTTGCAGCTACAGTCCACCTTTTCAGATTATTTTGTTTACCCTCTACCTTTTGTGTAGTATTAAAGAACTTGTACTATGCAAATCCTTATTAATACTTGTATTCATTACTCTGCAGGTCATGTTTGAACTTGCCAGAGTAGTTTTCTGACCATGGCAGAAGCTAAGAACATCTGAAAAAAGTATGACCGGACCATATTCACAACCAAAAAAAGTTCCTACTCCCACCTCTTTATTTTCTGTACATTTCTGGAAAATGCTGTAATTGTCTTACTAAATAAATATAGTTATGTATAAATGTACATCTGTTCAAATAAACTGTGAAATTAGTGAATAAATCATGAGTTAGGTTCAGCACTACTAGACAACTGATCTTTTGATATAACACTATAGAATGTATGCATTTTAAGTGAAGTTTCTGCAGTGAGTAGGAAATGCTGTGTCAATAAATGTCTCCAATGTGACAGTTTTGCCTCAATTATCATGGAGGTGACTCACTCAGCCTGTTCTGGTCCATGGATACCAAAGTCCTCGCTGCTGCCCCTGCTTCCTCTCCCCTGTCCTGAAGTGTTTGCTGCCTGCTCCCTTTGAGCACTGAAAAGATACGGATATACCTACCCCCTCTTTTCCATTTTTGGTGAAAGCTTCTCTTCCTTTCACATTTTTGTTGCTTGAAATGTCTAGGAGAAGGCCATTCACCTTCTCGGTGTTCAATCTGTCAGACCTTCACCCCAAGAACCCATCAGCACAGAGATTTGTCTGCAACAACTTCTGCTTAAGGAAGCCCTTGAGGCTAGACCCTTTGGATCCATTCAGACTTTGGTTCAAAGGTCTAAAGAGTCAGCCTCAGCACCGTGGTCTCTGTCAATCCCAAAGGGATCCAAGAAGCTGCAGCCCCTATCTGGGCCAGACTTGGTTCCTGCAGCTCCCACAGTCAAGCCCCTGAATGATACAAGGCTGAACCAAGAGGTGTGTGGTTGGATCCCACTGCCCCAGTTCTGGAAGAAAGGTCGATGAACAGTTCAGCCACCCCTGCTAGTACCAAACCTCATGCCTCACAGCAATCTGATCCTGATAGAACCCCTGCAGCTGCAGGACATGGGTCAGTTCCAACTGTCTCTTCCAGATCCTGGAAGATGGATGTAAGCAGTGCCTTTGACAGCCCTAGTTCAATGCCTTTGGTTTCAGATGCTGTGGCACTGAGGATAAAGCAAGACAGCCAATGTTAGCAGTGCTGGTTCCTGTGCATCAGAGTTATCAGATCCATACAATTCTGATGGAGTTGTAGTTGCAAAGTGGAGACATGTATCACCCCCAGCTTCAGTAATGAAGAAGATGAGCCCACATATCATTGGATCCGATGATGTCCAAACCTTCAGATCTGCTGTCATTTCCTGATCCAGTCTCTCTGTCAGTCTGGTTACTGCCACATGGCTAGATTGTGTGGTCCTATGGGTAGAGCCCCAAACCCTGCAGTGGGGGTCAGAGCACACAGCCAGAGCCTGTGGGTGGGGGGAGGGGGTGAGCCTAGGGTCAGGGTCAGGGCTCAAAGCCCATCGCCAGGGGATGGAGCCTGCAGCCACACGGCTGGAGCTTGCCGCCCGCCACCCCAGATCTGAAGCCCGAGCCCCGCCACCTGCCTGCTCCTCCAGCATTTGTGGCTCCATAGGAGGACAGTGCCCAACCCCAAGTGGCATCCCTGGGAGGGGCCACTGCTTTGCTTTCCTCTCCTTCCCTCCCATCACCACCGAGCAGGCTGTGGTCACATGAAAAGCCCCAAGTGGCCGCATGTGAGAAACGCTGATTTAGAAACTGACCTTGAGCCTGACGTATCATCAAACTAACATGCAGTAGCTTCAACCTCTTCTCCTGAGGATGCTATGTAGGTCCACAATTTGATGGATCACATGGTGTCCATTTTGAATCTCCCTTTGGTACTGGTGGAAGAGACTTCACACATGGTATTTGATATCCTCAATGCTACTGTCAAGAGTAGAATGTCACTCCCCATCCTGGATCATAGAATAACAGAGTTGGAAGGGACCTCTGGAGGCCATCTAGTCCAACCCCCCTGCCCAGAGCAGGACCAATCCCAACTAAATCATCCCAGCCAGGGCTTTGTCAAGCCTGACCTTAAAAACTTCTAAGGAAGGGTGTTACGGGGCTTATTCCTTCACCCACTTACTTCCCTGGTCCTTCTCGCATGAACAGAGAGCAACAATACCCGAAGTCCAAAGGTGCAAACAATTCGATGTTTATTGGGGTGAACTTCCAGCAAGCATGATTCCAGTTTCCTTCCTTAGTATCCTCCTTCCCAGCTCTGACACCACAGAGCCTTACACCTGTGTCCTTGTTCCTACTCCTGCCCTTAGCCAAACATGATTCCAATTTCCTTACCCCCATTCCCTGTTCCCATCTCCCCCACCCGCATGCCCACCCCCACCCCCTTCCTCCAGATTGACTGCAGACTATATAGTAAAACCTGAGTTCTGCTTTGCTATACCTTAACCAATCATTTTCCTGAAATTTAACTAACCAATCCTAACATATTGTAACATGATTATGTAACCAATTATATCCCACCACCTTAATTAGTTTACACCCAGCAAAATTAATTATACAGCAGACAGGAACAATCACAGAACCAGAGAGATTATACAGACGAACAATAGCAAAGTGGGAACTATAATGACAAAACAATACAGAAGTGAGGATTTCACATCCCAGCTATTGATAAGTGAGTTCTTGCCAGACAGGATGCTATCAAACTAAGTTTCCTTTTACATTTTCTAGGCACTTCCCTTTCTCTGGAGGTGATAGGAATACAATCCTGTCCTGATAGTGCTTAACAGCCCAATAGCACCTTATTTCAATGTGACTGGTTTGGAATGTGAGGATGTGACTGTTCGCTTCCTAGCTTATGGCTGCCTCTGCTGCTTAGCCAAAGGCCTTAGCCTAAGCACAGGGCCACAAACTGTCACAGTAAGAGAAGGCCCTTACACCAGCAGACAGTGATTTTGATTCTTTCTTTTATACCTCTATCACTAGCCAAGTGATAAGAATACACCTAAATTCTTAAAGTACAGGCCTTTGCAGACAGGCCTGAATATCTATATCCTAACAAAGAGGATTCCACCACCTCCCTAGGTAACGCATTCCAGTGTTTCAGTGTTTCCAGTGAAAAAGTTTTTCCTAATATCCAACCTAAACCTCCCCCACTGCAACTTGAGACCATTACTCCTTGTCCTGTCATCTGCTATCACTGAGAATAGTCTAGATCCATCCTCTTTGGATCCACCTTTCAGGTAGTTAAAAGCAGCTATCAAATCCCCCCTCATTCTTCTCTTCCGTAGACTAAACAATCCCAATTCCCTCAGCCTCTCCTCATAACTCATGTGTTCCAGTCCCCTAATCATTTTTGTTGCACTTCGATGGACTCTCTCCAGTTTCTCCACATCCTTCTTGTAGTGTGGGGCCCAAAACTGGACACAGTACTCCAGATGAGGCCTCCCCAATGTCGGATGGGTTGTTACAGCCAGCCAAATCTGTGTGGTCCAATCCCACCCCTTGTCCATCTGCCTGTAAGAAGGCAAATTATACCAGATACTCTGTGAAGGGTTCTCTTATTTCAATACCCAGCAACAGGGCAGGGTCTGAACAATCACATCCAAATAATAAAGGGGGGGGGGAATTGACTCATTAGGGAGAAAGGCATTCTCCTCTTCCTCTTCGTCCATTGGTATCAGGATGGCAAATTATCAGGCAGACATGGCCTATTACAAATTCTATCTATGGGGGGGGAAGTGTTTTTTCTCCAGGACTTGCCTAATGACAGAAGGTTGGCAAATGCTATCTTATTGGAGGGTCAGATTGTGTCCAAACATGCCCTCAGGGCCTCCTTCAATGCTTTAGACTCTGCTGCTAGAGCAGGGGTGGACAAACTACGGCCCGTGAGCCAGATCTGGCCCCTCAGGGCTTTGGATCTGGCCCGCGGGATTGCAACCCTGGTTGCGCCCCGGGCCCCGCACCGCTCCAGAAAGCGGCCAGGACCATGTCCCCCCTACCCAATGGGCCGCAGGGACAGAGGGCTGAGTGTGCTGCACTTGCCTATGGGTACCTCCCCCAAAGCTCCCATTGGCCAGGAACAGGGAACTGGGGAACCACGGCCAATGGGAGCTTCGGGGGAGGTACCCACAGGCAAGGGCAGCGTGCTCAGCCCTCTGCCCCCCCGTCCCTCAGGGGCCACAGGGACGTTGTGCCGGGCACTTCCCAGAGCAGTGCGGGGCCAGGACCAGGGCCAGGGCCGGCAGGGACCTGCCCTGGCCCCAGTGCATGCTGCTGCCACCCAGAGCCGCTCCAGTAAGCAGCACCAGGCCAGAGCCTGCACCCTGAGCCCCTTCTGCACCCCATACCTCAATTCCCTGCCTGAGCCCCCTCCCTGCACCCCTGCTGCACCCCAACCCCTGCCCTGAGCGCATTCCGCACCCCTTCCTGCACCCCTGCCAAGCTCCCTCCTGCACCCCTCCCTGCACCATTGCCCTGAGCCCCTCCCGCACTGTGCGCCCCCTCCTGCAGCCCAACCCCCTTCCCTGAGCTCCCTCGTACAACCTACACCCCTTCTCTGCCCCAATCCCTTACCCTGAGCCCCTTCCTACACACCGCACTCCCTCCCACACCCCAACCCTACATTCATGGCCCTGCATGCAATTTCCCCACCCAGATGTGGCCCTCGGTCCAAAAAGTTTGCCCACCCCTGTGCTAGAGCATTGCTGTTGGCTGTGACCTTTAAGAGGCATGCCTGGCTTAGATTCTCCTCCTCAAGCTATGGACATTAGAAAGTAAGATGGAGGATCCCCCTTTTGAAGGGGAGGGGTTTTTGCAGTGAAAAGACTGAGTTATCAATCTTGTGTCCTTTAGTTTTTCTAATAAATTGTCAATCTCTGGGATTGATTCCCTCTACTCAAAGAAGGCCCTTCACTCCCTTTTTCTGATACTAGATGCAGAGTACCCCCAATCTTTAGTGTTTCTACTTTTTGTCATGTCAAAAATGCCAACACCACCAATAGCCTGTAGTCTCTCAGAGCCATTGTAGAAAAAGGCCTTTCAAACAAGTTTCCAAATCCAACCAGCTCACTTCCTTGTCAGCTCCTTCACCCCAGAAAATTAAGCCTCGGTTTGACAAGATTTTCAAGAGTTAGGAGCCAATCAACCAGCACTGTTCTGCCTCTGCATTTGGAGACAGGCTAGCCTACTTCATCAACGCATAGAGACAGATTATATCAAACCAATAAGTCTCAGAGATCATGGGAAAAAGCTATGCTGTACCATTTGAAAGACGGCTTTCTCCAAAATGCCCTTACCTGTCCTGTTCAGGGACTCTTCTCATGAGGTGATTCTCGCAGAAGTGGAGAAGTTGCTTCTGATAGGAGCAGTCAAAGAGCTTCCTGCTTACCTCAGGGGTTTTACTCCTGATACTTT